CAAATGGTTTCAGCCTTTATCCTCCTGAAAAGTTCTCCACTGGGAGAATGCACTTGAAATAAAAGGAGTAATTCAGACTATCACTCAGTGCTTTCCACACAGTGACCTGAGAGCCATTAGGGATTTTGCCAAGATTTCTGGAGACCTAGCTCACCCTGACTCTGCTTGTTGATAGCACTCTGCTTACTGATAGCACTCTGCTTAATTCTAATATCAGAGATGAATATCAGAACAGAAAGCTCAAGAAACAACCCCAAAAGTAGATACTGCAACAGTTGTCTGAAGAAAACTCTAGATATTTGCACAAACCTCTCATGATTCTCACTGAGGATCACCAGCTGAGGCAGGTTTCTCCCTATATTTGAGGTTGGGCATTTTAAGTGATAACTAATTCTCCTATTTTTACATGGTATGGTGGGAAGAATAGATTTTTAAGTAGAGTTTATGTTTGAAGTTGAGAAAATAAAATCTGAAAGTCCTAACACACACAACTAGCCCACAATCTGAGAACTTTCTCTTGGGTTAAAAGGAAGCCAATGTCTCTAGAGTTAATTCTGAGTCACAGTGAGAAGCACAGGAAACAGGAGTCTTTGTGAAACGCTGATCGTCCCAATAAAGGATAAAGCAAACACATGGAATTCGCCATACATGAGATATGTCTATTGGTCAATCACGGAGGTTCATATTAGCAGAATAAAAATCTGTAAAAATATAAAAGAAATCTCAGAAAGTTTTTCTCCATACGAGAAAAGTCACATGATCGGAAGTCTTAGGGGAAATCAAAGCTTGACTTCAAATAAGTTTTTCTCTGGTGGGAAATAAATAAAGCAGCATCTGCCTGCAATCCATTCTTGACTGGTTATTATATGAAGAGTGCTGTAATAACTTCTCAGTGTTAATTTCACAAAGCATAAGCAATCTATGATTTAAAAATATGGCTTCAGTCATATTTAAAAAATTTTATCGGAGACCCACAAACAAGTCTACCGCAATCTACTAACAAGAATATAATATTTCAGATGCTTATCCTCAGAACAGGCAAGTTTGTACAAAGCAATTGCTTCCTCTTAATTATAGACATTACTAGTCCCAACGGCAATTTAAGAACCCAGTGTGTTTCATAGAATGTGCACTTTGGTTACATTCAATCAAGACTGAAGTTGCACCACAAGATTTAGGTGTGAAGAAGAAATGGAGTGAGGAAGAAACATTCACATTGAGGCTTATACATATTTGGAAAAATCCAAATTTCCACAGAGGAAGCAAAATAAATGAGGCTTATTTCTCTAAACTTCTATACCCTGTTTCATCTGCAGAACATGTTAGAACTTCACTCTATGCCATCTTAAGTGGTTATCTACTTGCTTCATAAGTGCAAGCCTTATCTTTTGCAGTAAAATATTAGGTACTGAAGGGTGAGTCCAGGTTGTATGGATATGTAACTTGGGGATATATGTAATTTGAGGGGTCCTCTCAAAGAAAAATACAAAATTATGAATATAAAATGATGTAGAGAGCATTCCAAGTGAGTGTCCCTGAAGCAGCTTCCCAGTAATCCACCTCTAAACTCCGGGTAAGAACGAAGTCATATTTCTGAGTTCCATCTGCATGGTGTGTTGCAGAGGCTAGGGACTGCATTCAGTGCTTGTTGGTTCCAGTCATTTTAGAAGCAAGCAAAGGATCTAACTGTGAGATTAAATTCAATTGGCCCATCCAAATGGTACAAAATAATCCTAACTCTTCATTTAGTTATATTTTAAATGATAATTTGAATTAAATGCAATTTGAATTCGTGTTGATTGTTATTTAATAGTCATTCAGTTAGTATTTTTAAAAATCCAAAAATATCTTATCTCCACTACAATAGAAGAACAAAGAATTTTAAAATCATCAAATAAAAGCTGGATGTACATGAGTCATAGACTAAACACTCTAGTTCCTGTGTGTATGTCCATAATTTAAATGAACAGCTGGAATTTACACGTACTCCTTTACTGACTTGAGGACATCTGTGGCCTATTATCAATAAAGCCACCCCATAAATAGAAGAAGTTACCAACTCCAAAGCAAACTTGTACGAGATTTTATGTTTTGAACTATTTCCCTCATAATGCCTGTCAACAGCATACTGCATCTTTTTATAAAGATGAAATACCAAAAGGAGAAAATTCATATAAGTTTTCAATGTCTATTTATAGTTACGAGCTATTAGATAAGCAAACAAACTATAAAAGAAATGACTCACTAGCCCAAGTTTATACTCCAGGCATTACATTTTGTCAAGTACTGCTATGCAAAAAACTACAGAACTTCCTATCTATCTTGCAGCTCAGGGTATCACAACTGGATCAACATATGATAAATTTTTTGAATGTTCCTGAATATGAACATATGAATAACCATTGATCCAAATAATTTCACTCTATATGCACCTACAAGAATACTACTTTGGGGGAAAACCCACTATTATCAATACCCTTACTTACACTGGAATAGGACTTGATTATTAAAGGCATTTCTTAAAACTGATAGATATGACTACCCCCAAATTTTAAAGTCTTCATAAAAAGGATACTAATAAACAATTTTTAAAACCAAGGGACAAATTAGGAAAAATATTTCCAACATGATAAGCAAAGAACTAATTACCTTAATGTGCAGTTATAATTAGTTGATCAATAAATAGGTGAAAATAGTCCAAAAGAAAAACAGACAAAGGACATGAAAAACAGTTCAAGAAAACACAAAGGACCAATAAGTATTTTAAAAGATGCTAAGCCTCACTCATAAAGGTGAGACATATAAATTCAAAAGCAATGAGCTACCATTTCTCAGTGGCCAGATCATGGTGGAGATAGTTTCAGAGATAGAGATGAAAAATACGCTGTTGGCATGTGCATGGGGAAAGCGAGGAAATGGACACTTTCATTCTCTGTGGATAGGAGTGTGGTTGGTGCAGTCTTCTGGAGGGTAATATGGCAGTATCTTTCAAATCTTTAAATGCTGATATTCTTTGATCCATCAGTTACTCTTCTATGAAATTATTCTGGTTGGGAGTGGTGGTTCACACCTGTAATCCTCGCACTTTGGAAAGCTGAAGTGGGAAGACTGCTTGAGCCTTGAGGCCAGGAGTTACCAGCCTGGGCAACGTAGCAAGAACTCATCTCTACAAAAATAAAAACGAAATTAGCTGGGCATGGTGGTGTGTGCCTGCAGTCCCAGTTATTCAGGAGGCTGAGGTGGGAGGATTGCCTGAGCCCAAGAGGCCGAGGCTGTGGTGAGCTGTGGTGAGCTGTGATGGTGGTACTGCACTCCAGCCTGGGCAACAGAGTAGATCCCATCTCAAAAAACAAGAAAAACAGAAAAAGAAATGAAATTATCCTACAGATTTATCAAACGACTATTCAGAAATATGTAGTCAAAAAAGATCCTTGCATCACTGTTTATAAAATTTAAAAAAACAAATAAAAAACTAGAGAGAGCCTAAATGTCTATCCATATAATAATCAATTCAATAATGACTATAAGGTCATTAAAAATATTAAGGTAGATCCATCCACACGTGCTGATTTTGAAATAATAAGAACTTGTATTTCTTGAGCTTTTGAAATAATAAGAACTTACATGTCTTGAACTTTCAATATGTCAGCTACTATTCTAAGCCTTTTACATAAGTCAAGTCACTTAATGAGTAAAGAATCTCTAAGATACATAGATAAGTAAAAATTGAAAATTGCAGAACAGACTGTATTCTGTGATTCTATTTGTATCATAGATAAGTATATATGACATATGATAAATATATATAAACAAATAGTATATAAATGGTAAATAGTACATAAGTGTGTATGTGTTTGCATACACATATTTATATTCACCCAGAAAAATCCAGGAGGAATACAAAAGGAATGGCATACAGTGATTATCTAGGAGGAATGGGATAGAAACTTGGAGAAAAGAAAATTTTTTCTTTTTATAATTTTCTGGATTGATGGAACTTTTCACCACGCACATGGATTACTTCTATTTTTAAAATGCTATTTTATTTTATTTATTTATTTTAAAATGCTATGTTATTTGCCTACTTAGATTATGGTCTAATTTTCTTATATATATATATTCAAAATCTAATAAATGTTACTTGGAGGAAAAGTAGCAGTATGAAAAAACTTTAATATTTTTATCATGAGCACAGATAACTTTCAAAATAAAAAATCTAGTTAACAAAAATCAAGATTCAACAAGTCCAACAAAAATACCATATCTCATTTCCCTCCTTCTGCAGGAAACTTCAGAAAACTGTCTAAGGATTTGGGGGAGGATTCACATGATTCTCAAACAATTGTCTGGATGACAGTTTTCTTCCTCTCAATATCAAGTTAATTTAATGGTATCTTTAAAATACCAGGTTTAATTATAAATAAAACAAAAATAAGGAGGAAAATATCAAGATTAACAATGTGTAAATTACAGTGTACACTGCTCTATTATACGCAATTATACACCTTAACAATACAGATCAAGGATGATACCTGTGCGCATATCCATAAAGTAGCCTGATATATGGTGACTATTAATAGTTATACATCATCATCATCACCATCATCCGACTGGTCTAAGACTGAGCTTCACACTTCACAAGCATTAGCTCATTTAATTCTCACAACAGTCCAACTGATTATTCACTAGATTATATAAAATTATAAAAATTCGAAACAAATCAGGATAGCAAATAAATTAAATCTAACAATTGAATCTAGATTTCTGGTATCCACTCTTAACTCTTTTATAGATTTTTTTATAAGTTTTTTTTCCCCCAGAAACAGACCATAAGAGGCTCCTGAATAATCTTCGTGCCATCTATGCCAAAGGTCATGCTTTCCAGTTACCCTTCCACACATACCCCTCTCAGCACACCAAGGGCAGGTGATTCTGAACGTTGTGCCTTCACTTTGCAAGCAGCCTGACATTTCAACTCTCAAACTCCTTTCAATTCTTACCTGTCCAGCAGCAGTTCCAACACTTCTTTAGTAGAGGCAAAGCCTCTATACGTTGACAGAAAGATGCTGATATAGGTAAAGTCATTGTCCCCAAAAGCTGTCAGCAGATTCTCCACAAGCTTCTCCAAGGTTCCAGCTTTTATGGTCCTGATCTTACACGTCTCATACTGACTGACTGTATGTCCTGGAGGCAGCTGGTCCCCTTCAACCTGTGCAACAAATTAATGATTACCATCAGGAGAAATGGTTCCCTAAAGTAAAACTGAAGTCGTTGAAGACCATAGCCTGTCATGTTTCCCCTCACTCTTATTTAATTTCTCTGCAAGTCATGTAAGGCAATGCTCTCTCCTGTGAGTCCAGTGTGGTGGAGTGGCAGCGGTAGTGACAGTGGGTGTATGAATGTGTGTTTCCTTGCTCTCTAGAAGTAAAGGTATTACTTCATAGTTGTTATATTTCTTCTACTTACTCCTCTATCAGGAATTAAGTTGCTGGCATATTTTATCAAGGCTGTTTTCTATGATCCCAGGATAGAGTTTAGCAAATGTTATCAATCATTCCCTTTGTGTTATTCCATGGTAAGTTTACAGACTCGTTCTTAAAGACAGCTTCTACAGTGATGTGCCAAAGGTGACTCACTAGTTTTGGAGAACTGATCATTAAATTTTTAGGATTTGTGTGAGCCAGCTGACATCATGCTGATAGCCAGAAAAGTCAACCATGGTAGGACTATGATTTTCATGGAAATCTATGGAGATTTGACTGTTCTCCAGTGTACTGAAAGCAAAGTGCATTCTGATTAAATACCATCAGCCATCAACAGAAATGGCTGAGAAATGACTATATCAAGCAGCACTGGGTTAAGCTCCGTGAGCGTGGAAAGGACGGGTGGGTGTGTGGCTCTGCCTTTGGAAATTTGTAGAAAGTATAAGAGAAGACATTTACTCATGAGAAGTAGCTATCACATGAGAATGAAACTGTAAGTAATACTGGCAGATATACTTTACCTTGGTATATAAATCATAATACATAAAAATTAATTGGTAATGAAATCTGTAAAGCTTAAACATTGAATAAAAGGGAAGATAATTAAATTGAAGAAAAATATTGGCGTACCTTACATTCTGCAGTAAATCCATGCCTAACAAATTATACAGAGATACAATTTTCAAAGTTTAACTGGTCCTCCATAGACACTAAGGGAAACTGCCCTACAGAGAGGAGGTCTGTAATGAAGCTTTTCCTAAAGAAAATAATTATTCCAAGTAATCTGAATAATCACCAGGCACTTTATCTAAAGCATAAATTGAATTTTTTATATCATATTTTCCTAAGTTCAACTAATCATACGTGAAAACTAAAGAAAAAGGGCAAAGACGCGAAAACTGGATACTGGAGCTCTGATGATAATACTGTGCTTACTAAGCAGCATGCTTGCTTTTTCTTCACCTGGTCTGTCAAAAACTAAACTACTGGAGGGAAATTAACAGCTGGGATTGCTTTCAGAAAGATCAAAGTGGTGGCAACTACTTTTAGAAGGAGGATAGAACAGCTTAATGTCATCATGTCTAACTGCTAACAGGAATTAAAATTAAGACTCCAGCTTATGTGGTGGATGGCTTTATTTCTTTATTTAATTTTTGAAAGTTTTCTAAAGAGAGGGATCTGGTTCAGGCAAAATACCAAATGTTTCTTTAGGCCTCTTAAGACTGTTGACTCAGATTATGGCCTAATAATTTCTTTATCACTCTCTATGTAGTTTCAGAACAAGCCTAGTAGTATCCATCTGTTCCCCAGAAGCTCCAATTAACTTTAACCAGAAACAATAAGTGAAAAAAGATATACAGTTTCAAACTCTATATGTTTTTAATTACTTGGTACAGTGCTGCTTTGCCTGTGTACTATAAAATACTAGTTCCAAAAAAAGAAAGTCGTGTGGTCAAGTTTGAGAACTACAGAGTTCAATAAAGTCAAAGATATTTCTTTACTGCAGAATTTCTTCAAGTCTTTAATATTCTAACATGTGTTATTAAACTCCAAGAGAGGGATGTGAATTTCTCTTTATACTCAGAGCATCTTGCAGAACTTTAGAAAGAAGAGTTTTTTTAAAAAAAAATACTGACTTAGTAAATTACTGTAATGCATTTAAAATGATTTATATTTACTACTTTTCACTTTTTAAAAAATCAAAATATTATGAAATGTTAACTTTTATCTTCAAACAGCCATATTCCTTTGATCTCTTTTGTAATACTAAAATATAGGGATGTTTTGTGTTTTTCACTTTGTCACTTTAACAGATCTGGCCATAATAATTGTCAGTCTGCGTAATATTAAAAAGTAGCAGTTGGGATATATACTTCAATGTCAAATGTTAACAACAACAAAAGGAATAGCTTTTCAGTGGTTAGGGATATTCAGGCTCTCATTTAAATCAAACTTTCTTACCTTGTGATAATGTTAGGGTTCCCTTACTAAACAATTTTGAAATTTGATGATTCTTATTTTACTTACGATGCAAACTTCACTTTAAGACTAAATCTTTCTTTCCTACTGAAAGTAATGACTATTTAAAAGAACTAATTTTTCACTGAGTATTGATGCGGCCAAAAATTCAAACACAGAGAAAAATGCTTGTCAAAGGACCTGATGAAGTGGGTCCCTTTTCCTGCCAGAAAGCAGATTTGGCAGGAAGCCACAGTTCTCCCTTGGGAATGGAATTATGTTTCTCATTAACCCAGTCGCTTCCTTTTAGTCCTCCTTTTACTCTGAAAAAAATCTCAGCGTGCATATGATTCCCGTAAGTCCATTGAACAGTTTTGCTCCTCAGTGTTTGCGTCTGTACATTAGGAAGAACTACATTTGATCTAACACAATGGCTAATAAAATATTTTGACTATTTAGATTTTAAAAACCATTCCCTAAGTGCAATGAGTGAACATCAATGACAATATCACAAAATGAAGTACAGAATTGCTCTGGTGCCTAAAATCATTCTCACAAAAATTAACAATGTATGTTAAAGTGTCGGAGCATTTGCTTAATGTCATTTCCTGTAGATTTGCTAAATATCCTAATATCTACTTGTGATGCAGGGGGAAGACCAGATTTTTGAAGATGAGTTCTAATTTATCAGCATTCAAATTAAGTACGTGTTTATGAAACAAAAACTTAAAATTATCTACCACTGGAATTATTTTGACATGAAATTGTACAAAAGAGAAAAAAAAATACCATATGCTGTATGGCCAGACTGGAGAAGCTAAAATGTTAAAGTTTCGTTTTTGCAACAAAAGATTCGGTAGGTCTATAATCCTTATAGGAGAATTTAGAGCCTGTTTTTGTTTGTATTATCTTCATAACTTTGAATTGAAGTTTAAGAGAAAAGGGGTGGAACCCTTGGCAGACAAGTGTTTAATAACCCAGACTTTGAAAGCAAGACAGGGAGGCCTGAGCCTGCCCTGTGGGTTAGCACGCTAACAGGAAACAGCTCAATCTGGATCTCATCAAAGACCGTCGCTTTCCTGACAAGATCATGACACAGAGGCCACAAAAATGTTTCATGATTGTTTTTTTGGTCACTCTTTCTGCCATTAGGATTCAGCTTGTTCTAAGAGAACATGCCTGACTCCTATGGGGTAAATATCTAAAATTCTGCTCCAGTGTCCCAGCCACAGCATTTCCATAATTATCAATTTTGGCATGAGGGAGGGAGGAGAGAGTATGAGAGATGAAATGTGTCATATTTAGATTCTGTTTCCAGTCATAGAGAAATATGTTATCTTACCTTCTAAAACATAAATTGTTAACAACTTGGGTATTTATAATTTGAAAAAAAAAAGCCTCTTCAATCAAAATAATACTTCAGTAATCTGATACTCTAACAGGGAATGTATTAAATAAACAGCCTCATGAGAATGGAGACAGCACGGAGTCCTCCAAGCCATGATCTGTCCTCAGTGTACCAGTTCTCAGGCATCTTGGCTTGAGCAGCAAAGTAAATAGTGTGTACTATCCTAGCTGTTAATTCCCTAAGAAGGTCTAAAACCCATATCCAAAGTTCTACAGACTTTAGGAAGGTACATATTCTTATTTACATCTGTTCCAACCACCAAGAGTAAATTTAATACTTAAAAAAATGCACTACAACTGCTTTCCAGAAATAGTAAACCACCATAGTGCAGGCTAAGTATCTTTCATACCAAATACTTGGAACCAGAAGTGTTTCAGATTTCTAATTTTTTCTGATTTTGAAATATTTGCAATATACTTAGTGGTTGAGCATCCCTACTCTAAAAATCCCAAATCCTAAATGCTCCAATGAGCACTTCCTTTGAGCATCATGTCAGGACTCAAAAAGCTTTGGATTTGAAGCATTCTTAATTTCGGCTATTGGGATTAGGGATAGTCAACCTGTATAGGAAAACCCATGAGCTAACTCACAAATAAGCTCTGCTCATCTCTCCACATGACCCAAATGAATATATTAAATGTCCTTGTCATGCAAAGAAAAAAATTCATTCTTTCAGTAGAAATCATGTATGTAAAGACACAGCAGAGCCTTGTGAAAAGGCCAGTACATTTGAGTACTATAGTGAGCTATTTATACAGGGGCATACAAAGAGGTAAGGCAAAGTCTAGCAAAACCTCTGAGGCACATGATGTCAAGTTCTGCATGAGCTTCTGCTTGGTGTGAACTTCTACTTTGGGTGTGAACTCACTTTTTTGCTATAATGGTTAGGATTGCCAAATAAATTACAGGATGCCCGGTGAACTTTTAGTTTCAGATCAATAATGAATAACTAAATGTTTTTTGGTATAAGCACATCCTATGCAGTATTTGGAACCTACTCATACTAAAAAAACTATTTATTGTGTATCTGAATTTGAAACTTAACTGTGCACTCTGCATTTGTATTTGGTAAGTCTGGCAACTCTGTGCTATCTGCATATACAGAATGGACATCTCTTTCATTTATTCATCTACTTAACCAGCCTCACATTAACTAAACAGTACTGTGTGCCAGGCACTGTGCAAGGTGCTAGACATATAAAGGTAAATAAATGCATGCAGTCCTGAAACCAAAGTTGTTCAGTCTGGTAAAGGAAAAAGACACAGAAAAACTATTATAGTACAATATGAATAAAACAGTGCAGAGACAGGCAGGACATCAGGGAAGCATCAAGAGGGACCCAGGTGAAAGGAGGCATC